TTGGCAACTGTTATATAGAACCCTTTGGGCAACTGTTATATAGAACCTTTAGGCAACTGTTATATAGAACCCTTTAGCCAACTGTTATATAGAACCCTTTAGCCAACTGTTTTATAGAACCCTTTAGGCAACTGTTATATAGAACTCTTTTGGCGACCGTTATATGAAATCTGGGTTTAATCTGATAGCAGACCTTATAGTACCTTAACCCCTCGTAGCCAATCCACCCTAAATCGCCTAAACCCTAGGTCCTAAGCCCTGCAGCAACCCTCATAGTAGCCCTCACAACCCCATCTGCAAAAAAGCCAGGTTGTTATCATTCTCAGGCGCTTGAGGACCCTAAAGCCCTAAAGCCATAAACCCCAAACACCTAAGCCCCTAAACCCTATAAACCCCCAAACCCCAACGAACCCAAAAAAGCCCTAAACCCTAAAACCTAAACCCTATACCCTAAACCCTAAACGCTATACCCTAAACCCTGAACCCTAAACCCTAAAACCCAGACAGCTCCAGGTTGCCATCATCTTCTCCTTTGCCTTCGGGGCCTTTCTTCATCGACTCTTCGAGCGCCTCTGTCGGCTAGTCTTAGGGTTTAGGATTTAGGAATTTAGGGGTTTAGGGTGATTCGGGTTTAGGATTTAGGGATTTAGGGGTTAAGGGTTTAGGGCATAGTCTCCATAGTAGTTCCTTTTTTTGGTTTAACCGAATATTTATTAAGGATTTTGCAAGGTATCCCCCAAAAGGAACTACAATGGAGACTACAGGTAGCTTTCCAGATTTTAGTCGTTACCGGAGGTGTTTCTCGGGCTTTTGGGTTTCGGGTGTCAGGGCTTTTGGGCTATTTTGGATTTACTTTCAGGGTTTAGGGTTTAGGGCCTGGCTTCATTTGTTTAAGGTATAGGGTATAGGGTGGTAGCGGTTTTCATGGAGGATAAAGCTAAGTTCCACAGGTGTTCATGGTATTTTTGTGTAAGGTTTAGGGTGATGTGGTGTTTAGGGTTAAATAGGGTTTAGCGGTGCAGAGATCTGGGTTGGTGCTGTTGGCACGAGGGCATAAGCTTTCGGGTCTGTAGCTGCAATCACTTGTTGTCTACACCCGCAACATCATATCCTAAACCACGGAGCTTCTGCTGGGCTTACAGAACGATGAGCTCTATGTCGACACTAAGGCTCATCCGGCCGAACCGTGGTGGCTCCATTTCAACTGCACCGCCCCTTTGTTCGCGACATATATATATATATATATATATTTATTTATTTATTTATTTATTTATTTATCTATATATACACACCCTAGGCTTCCAAGGACCTTATAGTTAGGGTCTTAGACCCCTTAAGGACCCAATAATAAGGTCCCTGGAAGCCTAGGGTAGAGAGAGAGAGACAGATATATATATATATATATAGGTACCTGGAGGGATGCTGGACGTTCCTTGAAGTGGAGGCTTGTAGAAAAAATGCCCTCGTGGACGTCAGGTGCAGAGTCTGGGTTCAAGGTATGGAAATGGTATGCGTTTGTTTTTTAAAGTTATTGTTGGTTCAGGGTTTAGGGTTTAGTTGTTGGTTTAGGGTTTAGGGTTTAGGAATGTTTGTTGTTAGTCTTGACTACCTTGTGTCAGTGGAAGGCTGTTGAGGCTACCTGACGCCTGAAGCCCACTTGCTTTTTTCCATGGGGTAGCAGGACCACACCAGAAGGACCCAACACAATTACCCGTGCAATAGGTTCCCGTTCTGTTTGCCCGTGCAGCTTACACTTCAGTAAGTGTTTCCCGGTTTACATTGATTTCCGACTTCACCCTGCGCCCTAAACTCTAAACACCAAAGAAAGTCCATACCCAAAAAGCCTACACCCTGTGTTGCCTGTCTTGTGCGAATTACCCTTGCCTTGTTCAGTTTGGCCATCGCGATGCTGATCGTGGAGGTTGTCTACTTTTTCACTGAAGGTGAGTGGCATCAAGACTCCTGGGCTGCAGGGTGAACTTTAACTCCCATACCCTACGTTTTAAGGGCTTGCAGTCATAAAAGACTTACATAAGCTATGCTACTGTAAGCAATCAGAGCGAGCAACCCTAAGATAAAGCCCTCATAGGGGTGTTTACCTTCACCCAAAAAGCCTACTCTCGCGGGCCTATCGTTCGGTGCTATTGTCGGTTAAGTGCTCACGGCCTGCGGTATTTTACGAAAGGTTAATCTTCCTAGCCTGTGTTATTGCCGAAGCAATGAAGGTGAAACCCCTAAAGGCGCTAAGCGGAGCCTTGCCGGCCTTGTGCGAGTGTGAGAGTCGAAAGCCGCTAAGCCCTAAACCCTAAGCCCTAAGCCCTAAACCCTAAACCCTAAACCCTAAGCCCTAAACCCTAATCCCTAAGCCCTAAAGCCTAAAATGGGACTTGAGAGGACCGAGGCTTCAGTTCCGGAGAAGTCGGTGGGCGTAGTCCAAATGGACCAACCTGGAAATCCAAAAGCCTACCGTTTTAAGGGTTACCTTAAGAACCCAAAACCTACTTTTTTTGTAGGGTCCCTATAAATCCCCATGTTAGGGTTTATAATAAGAAGCTACAGAAAAGTGGGTTGGGGGTTCTTAAGGTAGACCCTCCAATTAAGGGGCCATAACCTACGTACTTTTTTTGTAGGGTTTGGAGAACCCAAAACCCTTCCTGCAAAGGTAAATTGAGGTCCTTCAGGTGCATCCACTAAGGCCTTCATAAACCAGCGGTTTTCGTTTTCATAGGACCTAGGACCCACCGACAGCACCCACCCTAAACCCTAAACCCTAAACCGTCGCACCGCAATCAGACCCTTGCAACATCTTAAGCTCCCGAAGCGATGCAATCCCCGAAATTGCGTACCCTTGTGCCTTGAAGCAGAAAAAGATACGTGATGGAACTGAGCAAGAAAGAGGCAGGACTGTCAGTGCACCCCCCGAGCCCCAAGCCCGAAGCTCCGCAAGTTTCCGCCCACTGAGCTTCTCAAGGATACCCTCAAGTATGGGGTCGTTGTGACTTGCCTGGACATGAGCTCGGGCCTAGAAGGATAAGCAGAAGCCACTTCCACCTGTAGAAGCTTATGTACCTGTAGTCTCCATTGTAGTTCCTTTTTGGGGATACCGTATAAGATCCTTAATAAATATTTGGTCAAACCAAAAAAAGGAACTACAATGGAGACTATAGATAGTGATAAGGTAGACAACCCAGGCCTTTCCGAATTTCAGCAGTGATGCAAACGTGTCAGCATGGGAACATATTCAAGATGCGAGAATTCACCTGACGAAAGCAACCATACCGACGACGACAGCCACAAAGCCGACGACGACGACGACGACGACGATTGCATCCACTGGCCCGGCGGCGTCAACCACGACTTCGTCAACGTTGACGACCACCCCGACGCAGGCGACGACGACGGCACCAACATCAACGAACTGGATCAGGACGGTCATCTTTCAATACATACTCCTGGTGCAGCCATGCTATTAGCCAGAATGCTACCTATGGCCGGGGTCGTGCAGACACCTCTGGCAGCTTTGAGGCTGTTGCCACAATTCCGTGGCTCCTACTGCCTCACTAGCCTCAGCTGCTACTATTGTGACGACACCGACATCGACGACGACCACTAGCTCACCGACTTCAATCGCTGCTATGTTCGCGGCTGCCCTTATCACTATTGCTGCACTTCTGTTGCTGCTACTTAGGCTTCTGCTAGTGCTGCAGCTACCACAACGACATACAACGACTGTTATTGCCACCAGCACCGCCACCACCTCCACCACGACGACGTACAGCTAATGCTACTACTGCTGCTTCTCCTACGACGACGACCACTATTGCTACCACGTCTACCACTACCACCACCACGACCAGTACTCACTACTACTACTACTACTACTACTACTACTACTACTGCGACTGCTACTACTACTACTACTACTACTACTACTACTACTACTACGACTAAGACTACGACTACGACTACGACTACGACTACGACTATGACTACGACGACTACTACTGCCACCACTTTTTACTGCCACTAACCACTACCACTTCGACTACTATTGCTGCTGCTGCTGTTGCTGCG